GAGCTAACTTTGCTATCTGATCCATGACGTTTCTTGAGGCCGCTATGACGACAGTCGAGTTCTAATCCGAACGCCTTTCGTTGCGTTTCATAACCCACCTATCTGGAATAAGACTGTGAATATCCCAATTATTCAGAATGAATACTGTAGCTATGTGCAAACAGGGCAACAATCATTGCGCATAGAAACAACATTCACTCTTCATTTCCCCTTCGTCAGCTACTTTATGACCCTGGCCATTACTATTTACTACCTGGAAGAACCCTCTCTCGTGAACAATTCGTTCAATACTATATGACTTCCAGTTACTTTATAATATATTTCGCGCGAATGGTGTTACCCGTATGAGCAACAGTTTAAACGATTGCATTTCGCTGGGGGTCGGATACCATTTCATGGATCTTGAGCAAAGCGAAATCCATGCATCACTTCCAGTGACCTTACTCGTTGTAGCACTTTTTCAAATTCATTCACTTATGATGACTGACGAGACAAACCTGTATTTAGGTACCTATTTTCCGTCTCCACTCGATTGGTAGTTAGGTTTCCTAAAGTCAACCTAGTCCTCACGGCATACCCTGCCCACTGCTCTTGGTATGGCAACCACGGTTGGCGTAACTAAACACCTACTTCTGTGTTAAGACGTTCTACGGCGGCTGTGAATCTACGAAACGATACCTCACTATCACAGTACACCCCGTTCCGCATTCATTGAAAGATGCACTGCGTTTTGAACGGTGGCATACCAGATAGCTGGTTAATTTTTTTCTCCATATCCGTAACCATATGGAAACGACAAAATACAACATTAGTGGAAGGAAGTCATTCTAAAAGCGCGTTGTACTGGGTCACGCTACGATCAACTACTATAGTCTGGCATCGCGCAAAGGCTAAGCACATAGCTCTCATGGCTCCCACGGTAGATCTATAGCTCTTACTGCTCTCATTCGACAAGATAGTGTAGAAGAAACTTCTAACAAAACTGGTGTCGTCTACAAGCATATTATGCCAAAGCATGTAACCGCCACAGTTTAGCTGATGCGTGGCGTCCGCTAACAAAACATCAAACCTGTCGACGCAGTGCAGCATAATCTTAGGAGCAAAATAAATGTGACAAACGGCGCCTTCGTTCAGCTCTATCCTAACCACTCCTTGATTCTCCAGCATATTCCAAACGTTCACCGCATCGTCACGTGAATCCGATTGAGTTCTTTTCCGACGTATGTATCTAATATCCTCCATGGCTGAGGGTCTCTTGAACCTCTGTGTGGCTAAATCCCTTAGCTCTTGAGTACTTCTAAAAGTGTCCATCAAAGCACACACTTCCTCTTCTTGTTGTGCAGACAGACGACGATTACTTATATACAAACCTCGCTAACCCACACGGAAGTTATGGTTGTGCACCAGAAGGAATTCCATTACTCGGTACTTGGCCTTCGATGACGTACACAACAACATTTGATGAAATAGTACGGAAAACCGTCAGGTAGGGTGTATTTCATGTTGAACTTTTGAAAATCCTTCCAAACCCATGATGATTCAGGGCGATATAACTCTGTGTGTTGCTACTCCGCATATATTTCTCAATCACAAACGGCATACAGCATTCCTTATCTGTTAATTCGATGCCCGGCGCATTTGAATTTGGCGTGGTCAGAGAACGTGGGCGACTGTTTGGCTCTCTCTGGACATCATTTTTGGCTCGCTTGCTTGAGTGCTTGCTTGAGTGGCCGCATATTCGAAGTTTGCTTTATTGTACATTTTGTAATTTTGCTAATTCAGTACCGTAGAACATTACGGATCAATCGTGTTTTATTCTGGGATTCATATCGGTTTTCGCTACTCGTCACTCAAGTACGAATTGGTTGACGTACATTATTCCAATTGGAATCAAACGAGAAAGCTATTTCGAAGATGCCCAGACGAGGAACCAAGGAAACTAGAACCTAGCAGGAAGTAACCCAGCAAGTCACTGGGGGGAGCATGGGTCATTTTGATTCTTTAGAAAATTTAAGGTCTGTCAGTCCTGTCAGTGCTGTTTCATGTGTAGATTCAAATATTTAAAATATCGATATATTTAGATTGCGGGTTTCTGAATTAAAGCATGAGTTGAGATGAGCTGGACAGCTGATTGAACAGGCTGTAGAAAGCACATAGTGAAGAAAATCCCTCCTCTCGATCCAAGGCGCGAACACTGTTGTTCCCCCTCCCAATTACCCCATTTTCCGATCCTGTGTGCACTCGTTCTCTTCCGTCACTCTTGATTTGAACTTGATCACCACGTGATCCCTCGTGCTAGTCATTGTCTATGGTTCTTTGATGACGGATTCTCCTGTCCAATGACTTTATGTATCTGCCTATCGATCCCAGCCGCGTCATTTCACTCTGCACTAATGTGGCTTTGGTGTGTCATTGCCCTGGTTCATAACGACCTTAGTCCATTTATGCCCTATCGCTCCATTCGTTTTCTTGCTCTTTGCGAGTGTATACCTAAATTCGATCACTGGCTGTTCACGTTTGTTGAACAGAATTTCTCCCTGTGGCAAACAGATCATTGTCGATCTGTTTGAATTCATCTTGGTTGTTCACGTTTGGTGAAGAGGATCCCTTGCTTGACCTAATGGGCATTTATGTTCCCTCTTTGTACATTTATTTGCTTGTCTTTTTATCGGGTCTCTACCCATTTTTTTGAACTCACTTTTTTGGTTGTATAGCGACTGAGTCGCATTGTTGAAGTACGTTGTTTTTTGACTCACCTAATAAAAGAAGTAGTAACGCATTCATTGCGGATCAATATTGTTCTGACCTCGGGGTTCGCATTTTGCTACGCGTTGCTCAACGGTCTAATTGACGTTATACAGAACGATCGTAGAACAGTTGATTACACTCGGGCTACGATCGAGCCAGAACGAGTCGTTCTGGAACTTACACAGGCCAACCTTTCCGAGTGGCACGAAACATGATTGACGGGATACTAGCAGAAGCGAGACGCACACGAGGCGATACCTAGTCATCAAGATGCAGAACTGCAGTATCGCCCTCAACCACCTCGAATATCGGTCGGACTTGAATGCACTTCATACGCTGGAATCGATAGTCAGATGTTTGCCTGCCAAACTGCAGATAGCCTGGGCGACCGAGGTCGATCAAATCGAGAAAATGAACAGAAAAGGAAACTTTGACGAACTCACCCAATTAATAGGCTGCCATTCTTGCATAGCTAATAGTCGATTCGGTCAACTACCGAGGGCAAGCATCAGGACCGCAAGACCTTCAACCAGCTTTGCGCCATCTAGATCTCGAGGTCCTCATCCCCCACACAACTGGGCGAGCACCAACTTAATCTCATATGACCCACAAAGACCGATTAAGTGTAAACTGTGCTCAGGTGTCCACAAGTTTGTTAACTGCCAACAGTTTTTCGACAGTAGCTAAAAGGACAGGGTCCAGCTTTGTGTGCGTGAGCGATACCCACAGAACAGCCCTTGGCAGAAACCGAACCAACTGTGGTCAAGACGATTGCAGGGTTTGGCATGACCCCTTATTACACCACGATGGAAGAGTCGAGCCGCGAACAAATAATGGCCAGGTCGATAGAACCAACGAACACTCTGCAGGGGATACTCCGAAATCCGTCTGCACTATCGGAGCAGTGTGAAGTGGTCCGGTCCACTTGGGAATAATGCCGATCCAAGTGAAGACTCTGCGTGGCATGGTCCAAGCCGTGGCGGTTCTAGACAATGGATCGGATACCACTCTCGTGAGAGAGAGCTTTGCGCTAGAACACGATCTGGGTGAACAAACCACGTCATTGGTAATCAGCACCGTTTGTCGTCAAATATACAGTACACTTCGAGAGTCTTAGAGCTCGAGAAGTAGAACCGACTCCATCACCGTGAATCCTTGTAACAAAGGACGTCACCTATTTGACTCCAACTCCTCTTACTCGTTGCTGAATTTTTAATATCTCTGTATTACCAGTGACGTGCTTTGCTTCATCCATCCTCAGCTGTGATAAACGTCCGCAGTTTCAAAAATCTCCAGATGTGAATCCACAAAAGTGGTGAACCTCCTCTCAGGTTGCAGTACTCAAATTACTCACCTCGATTAGAATTTTCGTTCGTCTTTCCCTTTTCCCTCATCAGCTAGGTATCATCCCAGACTGTTCGGTTTCTCCTTCCCGTTACAGATTTGGTTGGCTTGGGCCTGTCGAACGCTTGGGGTCTACACCCGCAATGGTTGTTGGTCGCTGCTGTATCCCCCGCTGTGACAATATGCGTCCGCATTCCGGACCAGGTTGAAGAACGCACCCCCTGCCTCACCTACAAAGTGTTTTAAGGTTAGGTGGCTAGCGTGTAGTCAGTCCCACGTCAAAGCTAAATAACCCAAATCATCTATTACTGAAACCCCCGAAGCAATCAAAAGTATCCTCACAGAAGTCATGTGTGTGACTCTATGCAGAATATATATACTCTGATAGTCACCATAATGTGTTGTTTCATCCGATCCGTCGCTGTGCATTTTTCCATCTCTTCCCATTTATTGATCCGCCACAGTCTCTCGTTCCTTTACTCTCCGACCGCTGCACGTCCAAACATATAGCCTTTTATATGGTATAACGATTAATATTCTGGTCAAATATCCATTGACCTACTCGGTTTAGCACTCTGCCATCTCCAACATTTTGCTCAGTGACTTTGTCCCCCTTGTGTTCCATTTGTATTGCAACGTTCAATCCAGTTAAGCTCTTCATTACTTCCTACCTTCTATGCACCAATGCACCGGGACCATCAACTCTTTCTCTGTGCTTGTCTTATACAAATGAATATGTTGTACATATGATCATGCTCTTGTATGCCTCACGGGGCTTCTTGCAATATACAATTATTATTATTATTAACGGGGCAGTTCGAACTTCTCAACTGAGTTTGAAGTTAACTCCCACATCGGGGGAAGATACGATAGAGGTACACCTGGCATTTACTATCGCCGAACTACCAATGAGCGCTTCCGAAAGTATCCGGTCGGTAGCGCGGCACTGGCCTCACCTCCACGATCTGCCATTCGAGGATATTCCGGACACCCGAGTGGACATGTTGATCGGATGTGATGTACCCGAGGCGCATGGGGTTCTGGACCAAAGGATAGGAGTCCGTAGAGATTCGTTTGCTGTGCGCACGATGTTTGGTTGGATACTCCGCGCGTCGCTCGGTAATGATGGTAATTATTCAGCCTCGATCAACTTCATCTCGCGGCCAGATAATGCCAAAGGAGACGACCTGGAGCGGCTTTACAACCAAGAGATCGAGGACATAGCAGACGACCTGNATCTATGTGGAGGGAAGACCGCTCAGCCCTGGCTGTCGTCACCGAAGCGACACGATACAACGGAACTCAGTTTGAAGTGCCGTTACCATGGCGAACGAGATCCAGTCGACTGCCAGACTGCCAGAGGTAGCCCTACATAGGCTCAACAACCTGAACGGACAATTAAAAAAGAGTATTTGGAGTATTTGGTTCACCAGTGGAAGCAATCTGTAGTAACTTATCTCATGAGTTGACTACCCTTTCGCTGAAGAACCTTAAGCGTACCGCTAGTCTCGTGCGCAATTTCTTCATATTATACATGTGCCCCCCTTGTGTTGCTTTGCAACCTCTCGATGAACACTGCTTGATCAGTCCCCGATAAGCCGTTCATAATTTTTTATGTCTCCATGAAGTCACCTCGAAGTCTTCTTCTTTCCAAGCCGAGGAGTCAGATATCATGCGGTCTTTGTGTATACGGCTTCCCTCGCTACCTTTCGATCATCCCTATGGCTAATCATTAGAACCCCTTGAGACAAGCAGCGTCCCTTTTTGAAGAGGAGACTCTAAGCTTATATACAATACTCTAGATGCGGTTGCAAAATAGTGTTTTACAGGGCTACTAATACCCCGACTTTCTCCATGTTAGTGCCGACGGTAGTGACGTGGCATCCTAACTACTAAGTTTTCTAAAAACGACTTATTTTTAAATGTACTTTAGAAAAGTAATGTCAAATTTAGCTGAAATTAAACAGATTTAGTGTTTGATTGATTTTGAGTCATTTGTTAAAATTAAATTTGTCTTAATGACCCCTAATCGACTTTGTCCGGAAGGTATAAATAAGCAACCTAATGGCGACGATCACATCCACGCTCATACCAACCATGGCTCACGCTGACAACACGGTCGTTTTCGAATGAAGGGTAAAAAGTTGCTATGTATCGCAGGAAGGATTCTGGGAGAATTTCCGTGAATTCCAAAGGGTTACCTGCACCTCCATCTACGTTTATGCATCAATGACAGGCAAATAACCCATATATAATATATATAAGCAACCACCTTGTATATCTTCAAGATGGGTTTGCTCCCTTAATCCACAGAGGTTCTAGTGGGAAACCGCCATGGTGGCTCACTTCTGTAGGTAAGGCGATTGGATGCAAAAGTCGAAGCTGTGAAGCCTTTCGATCTTCTGGTTCCCAGATGGCTTGGAGACAGTGCACGAAGCATCGTAACGAAGCAGTCTGGCTCATTAGGAAGGGTACAAGCGACTTTGGGTAAAACTAGCCAGCCGATCCAAGAAGCAGCCAAAACGCTACTACAGTTATGCTCAAGCCAAGGGCACCATAAAATGATGATGGGACCTCTACAATTAGAAAGTAAGACCTTTATCGATGACCAGGAAAAGGTAGATGCCTTCTGTGCATACTTCAGTGTCGTACATAGAGTATATCGAGGCGAGTTAACACTACCGGATCTTGTCTTCCCATCAGAGTACATAGAGTATACTTATGTTTCATTACCAGCAGTTTATCGGATATATGCTGAGCTCAAAGTAAGTCTCCAGGGTCCGATGGAATTCATCGGGCAATCATAAAGCCAATGACAGATGTGGTCGAGGGATCGCTAAGATAGTTATACGAAGCCAGCCTACCGCGGGACTGGAAAACAGCTACAGTTGTTGCCATTCACAAGGTAGGAGCACAATCGTAGATTAAGAATTATAGGCTGGTAAATCTAAGGAGTTTATTGTGCATGTGTTTAGAAATGACGGGATTTAATCCCAAACTCGCTGCTTACTAATCAACAGCACGGTTATACCAAAGGTTAGATCATGTTTACCTAAATTACTGTTTTTTAGATGAAGTAACCTTGAAGTAAGATGAGGACAAAGCCGTAGAAGTCTGTTATTTAGACAGCTGAAAAGCTTTTGATTCCATCAACCACAGATTGCTGTTGGCTAAGCTCAAACACAAGGGGATAGGTGGGAAGATACATAAGTGGATCCGGGAGTTCCTGGCCGGTCGCACGTTTACATGAGGATTGAAGACAAAGTATCAACTGAAGTCATACCCATCGGGGGAATACCACAGGACTCAGTGCTTGACTGCATTTAAGCTTGCTCCAGATGAGCGATGTTAGAGCTCTTTCCAGAATGGGATCTTTAGTGTACTATGGAACGCCTTCATGACCCATGTCCCTTGGTCGTCGATGAGGTGAAAGGAGACGAGCCTTTTCCTTTCCAGCAGGCACGTCGTACTGAATGTAATTTGAAGTGATGGGTGCACACTTTGTGGGTATACTGCTGGAAGAGATCTGGAAGCTCCATTGGCCATGGCAATTATCAGTCCTGTCGAACCTGACCTTACCTGACCTGAATCCAGGAAGCATAGAGCGTGGAACAACTATAGGAACTCCCAAGGCCATTCAAGGATCCGCTAATACCCAAGGGCCCGTGAGGTTGCTTTTAGGGTTCAGAGAGACTGCCGCCGTAAGTATGAGATGAGTC